AGCTGCCAGCACCTGCCTGCCACACCAATGATTTTCTAAATGAAGAAGGAGATCTGGGTTCAAATCTAGGATATCGGTAGCTGTGAGACTGTTGAGGGAACTTTCTGGACATCTGGATATCATGTGGAGATGGGGAAAAAAACACAACATAGAAGAGGGCTGGGAAGAGCTAAAGGGATATCTGAAAAAAATGGAGGGAACAGATGTCAAGCCCAGACTCCCATTCCAAGACCCCAGTAGAGGAACCACACCAAGAGTGACACATGGGACGCCATTTACACCAATCTGTTCTTGCAAATACATATGCACAATAAGCTCTCTTCTATAACCAAAGGGCAGTAAAACTTTGGAGGCAATTTTTCATGAAATTAGAAACTTAGCACATGAGTTTTTTCCTTCCGTACTAAATTGAAAGCCTAAGCAATCACTCCACAGGTCCTCTGTAGGATATCCGCTTTCAGCAGCTTTAAGACCAAAATCAAGGACAAGAAAGGATTTTATAAACTTAACTGCTAAGGTGCCTCCACTGTTATTGGATGAGGGGCAGTAGGGGACGGTATACAACGGAAGCACACTGGACAAAGGACTGACAGCAAGATTCCATCCTTCCTCACGAATAGCCAGGAAAATGCCTACTTCTGGGATTTTCCATGTGGAATTTTGGGGGAGAAGATGTCATGGGGTAACTGAAACCATAGAAGTTAACACTCAGGAAATGAACTGCAGAAAGCCATGACTATAAATTATGGAAGGAGGACTACAGCAGAGCACGGAGAAAACACTCCTGCAGACCATGTCCAAGGCAGCTGCTTAAGTCAACCTTCAGTTGTTCTCCTGGTTGTGTGCCTGCTCCTATGTGTGCAACATAGACATAGAACCATCTCTTTCCTCCAGCAGTTTGTGGGTGTGAGAGGTGGGTTCCTCCAGCATCATGGAAAACAAGGATTTGCACAGAGAGCTTTTCAGGGTGGGGCTTGTGTGTGTCTTAGAGAGGACAATTCTTCAGGCAGTGACAGGATGGAAGCTCTTCCCTGATGTCAGGTTGTACACCATGAGCCCCAGAGCAGACCCACACACACACACACACACACACACACACACACACACACAATGGTAGCATTCTGACACCACTCCCTACCACCCCCTACCCTTACCCCCCACCCTCACCCCCCACCCCCGCTGATGTCTGGTTCTAGGCAGCCCAAGGTTCTAGGTAGCCATTAGCAATGAACAGTACCAAGCACAGAGACACCACTGCCAAGACTGCTGACAAGGGCTGATAACAAGGTCTATGTCTAACATGGCAACTACTCTGGTTCTGCACCCCCGTGTTCCTAAGCTAAAATAGGCCCCACAGACAGCAAATCCCAGGTTAGTCTCTAAGCTCTTTCTGCTCCAGGTGACCAGGGTGGATGAGGCAACACATGACTGTCACCTTGGATTTGAACTTCCAGAGTGACAGAAAGGGAGCATTGGGGTGCAGACCTTCAATCCCAGCCCTTGTGAGACAAAAGTAGTTGGACTTCTGTGAGTCTGAGGCCACCCCGGTCTATATAGCGATGCTCAAAATGGAGTCTCTGCCAACTCTACCACCTGGTTCAGTGGAGACAGGTGTGGACTGTCCTTAAGTCCTGGAAGGAGACTAAACAGTGAGTCAGAGAGGAGGGCAGTCCCTTTTGGAGCTCCTTATGACATGTTGATATTAACATGTTCACCTGTCAGGAGTAACGGCATGCACACTCCCATCATTCCAGCACTAGAGAGGCTGGGGAGATCCAATCACAAGATCAAGGGAGCCCTGGGCTACACAGTGAGACCCCAAAACACCAAGAGGTGGGGCAAGCAGACAATGAGTCAGGAGAATGAACCCTAGGAGACTTGGTACAAAACCTACAAAATTATCATACCCCCCCCCCAAAATAAAACAAACTTGCTGGCACATACAAAGACCGGAACACCCACACACACACATTTGTATATACCTTGGATATGAAACATACAAAACACACAGAAGAAAGAACACATTGTACACATGACCCATGAAAGTCCCAGTCCTTTCTACATGGGTACCTTTTTTTTAAATACTTTTTTTAAATTATATATTTAAATTAGAAACAAGTTTGCTTTCCATGTCAGTTCCAGCTCCCTCTACCTCCCCTCCACACCTGCTCCCCCCCACCAGCCCCACCAGCCCCCCACCCAATCCCCACTCCATTCCCGAGGGAGGGTAAGGCCCTCCATGGAGGATCTCTAGAGTCTGTCATTTCATTCCAGGTAGGGCTCAGGCCCTCCCCCAAGTGTCCAGGTTGAGAGAGCACTCCTCATTGTGGGATGGGTACCCAAAATCCATTTGTGTACCAGGGATAAATACTGATCTACTACCCAAAGCCCCATAGATTGCCTAGGCCTCCTCACTGACACCCACACTCAGGGGGTCTGGATCAGTCCCGTGCTGACCTCTCAGCCATAAATCTGGGGTCCAAGATCTCCCCCCTTGTTCAGGTCAGCTGTTTCTGTGGGTTTCACCAGCCCAGTCTTGACCCCTTTGCTCATCACTCCTCCCTCTCTGTCACTGGGTTCCAGGAGTTCAGTTCAGTGTTTGGCTGTGGGTGTCTGCCTCTGCTTCCGTCTGTCACTGGATGGAGTTTCTAGGATGGTATATAAGATAGTCATCAAAATCATTATCAGGGAGGGGCATTTAGGGTAGTCTCTTCATCATTGCTTGGTTTGCCAGTTGGTGTCATCCTTGTAGATCTCTGGAAATCTCACTAGTGCCAGATCACCCCTCAAACCTAGAATGATTCCCTCTATTATGGTGAGAGATCCCAACTCAACATTTTTAGACCCCTAGTGACTAGCCCATCACAGAGTGACTTGCCCTTCTGCCCTCTCCTGAGAAACTGGAGACCTGATCCAGGAACTAGCTCACCACATTCATGCTCAATGTTTAACTGTACAATGCCCAAAGAATACTTGCTTGAGATAATCTTCCTGTTAAGACATAAGCTATCATTTAGCTTCCTCATCCTTTATGATGTTTGTCTAACTCCCTGATTTGGTTTTTCCCTTTTAAACCCCGCCCCCGACTGCAGCTACTAGGGGTCGACCTCTTCTGCCCCTGCGAGGGTCATAAGCTCGGCCCCAGTGCACTGGTTCCCCAAATAAACCTCATGTGCTTGCAGCAAGAACGGTCTCTCTTGAATTACTGGGGTGTCGGCTTATCCTGAGACTTGAGTGAGGGTCTCCCCACTCTGGGGGTCTTTTGATGGTATCTCTCATCCTGCTCTCCTCTATTCTTCCCCCAACTCAACCTTCCTGCTCCCCCATGTCCTCATCTTCCCTCCTTTTCTCCCCTCTCTTTTTCCTGGTTCCATCTCCTTTCCCCACCATGTTCCCAATCTGCTCAGGAGATCTTGCCTCGTTTCACCTTCTCTGGGGTACCATGCATATCTCTCTTAGGGTCCTCCCTGTTTCCCTGACTCTCTGGCAGTGGGATTGTAGGCTGGCACTCCCCTGATTCATATCTAAAATCCATATATGAGTGAGTACATACCATTGTTTGTCTTTTTGTGACTGGGTTACCTCATTCAGGATAGTTTCTTCTAGTGCCATCCATTTGCCTGCAAATTTCAAAATTCCATTGTTTTTTTCCGCTACTCCATTGTGTAAGTGTACCACATTTTCTCTATCCGCTCTTCAGTTGAGGGGCATCTAGGTTGCTTCCAGGTTCTGGCTATTACAAATAATGCTGCTGTGAACATAGTGGAACAGACGTCCTTGTTGTATGAATGTGCATTTTTGGGGTATATGCCTAAGAGTGGGATTGCTGGGTCTTGTGATAAGCTGATTCAGGGCATCTTGTGAGCTTCTAAACTTTCACCCCTGCTCCATCCCACTTCCTCCCTTGGAAGTGTGTTCTTCCTCAACACATCCTCTTGCTTCACTTGTGCTCTCTATAGGATTCTGTTCAGTTCCTTGTTGCAGAGCGCAAGCACCTCCAAATCATGGCAGGTGCCCTTTGAACCCCAATACCCGTCAATATTAGTGCAGCACTTGCTAATGCCTGCAAGGCTCTGGGTTTGTCCACCTCAAAAAAATATATATATATGTGTGTGTGTGTGTGTGTGTGTGTGTGTGTGTGTGTGTGTGTGTGCACCCATAAAATTCAATAAGCCCTTGACCTTGGGATTTTCCTTAGAAAAATAACAGACACCATGCCACTATCCTGATTTATCCAGCACTCAATCTAAGACCAGTCAGTCCTGGGCCAGGGCAGCCCCCAAGAAGATCCAAATAGAAGCTCTGGCAACCCTACCTCACTCCTTGAAAATAAATTAAACTCATCCCGTGACGGGATCTGCATCTGGCTTCTTCCCATGAAGATTTTTTTTCCTCTTCCTACCAAAAGGGTTCAAAAGTTTAGCACTGATTTGTATTCTGAGCGCCAGGCGGACCGCTGCAAACCCAGCTCTGTGGGGGAGGTTGATTGAACAGCCAGCCTGGGGCAGGCATTGCTCTCTGGAGCTGGAAGGGTTTCCTGGGTGTCACTGTTGCTCTCCCCTCCCAGAATCTTAGCCTCTCTAACCCTCCTGTCCCTGCTGGGAGCTTCTGCTCTTTGTGATGATAACAGCTGATCCACGGGCAGCTCTGGAACGCCAGGGAAATCTCCAAGGAATTCCACTCGGGCTCTTTCAAGCACTTCATTTGCATACATTTGTATAAGTTATGCGGCGGTATACACTTCTCTTTAACATTGCACCCTAATGAAATCACTCAGATGGGCACATTAGAAATGGGATTTACTCTGGGAAGGCTGACCCTTTGCCTGTTAAATCATTTGAATGATCATTTGAATATATTTGCACCAGTGGCACAAGGAAAGGGCTCGGACTGGTGTTTTCAGAATTAATGAACCAACTTGGCTACCTCTTGGGGGAGGGCATGGAGGATTCAGTAAACAGTCTTAGGGGTTTGGAATCTGAGGCTGGTACATCCCGGCAGCAGCAGGAACCTCAGCCCTAAGGCGTTCCCAGGAGTCAGAGCCATCCTAGAAATTCTCACATGCAAATTCCCTTCAGAAGCCCTCAGAGTACCTCTGTGGAGATGGGAGAGTTGAAAACAAAAGGACACAGACCCAAATGCTGTCAGCAACCTCCTATGGAAGGAGGGCATCAAGAGGGGGCTCTGCTGGGACCTGTGAGGAGCACCAGCTGCTTGCTGGGGGGTAAGTTCTCTGGCCTCAGATAGGCCTGAACTCCAGGGGTAATAGCAGGCCCAGCAGGGAGGTGAGTGGAGGCTGGTTTTGCCCCCAGGAAGCCAGTACAGCCAGCAGCTATCCTGGAGAGCTTAGGTGCAGCTTCAGCTCTGAGGCAGCTCCAGTTGAGTCTCCAAGCCTCCAGGAACAAGTGGGGTTCAAACCAGCATTCGAAGGGGAGGGGCAGCCTGGAGGAGAAGGACCCAGGCAGGAGAACCCATGGCAGAGGGCTCCCACCTTACTACTTTGTATTTCACAAAAGCCTGTAATGTATTCTTTGTGAAAACCCCCAACTAGCAAACACAAGCTAACCCAGAAATATAAGAGGCTTGCTCCAGGTCACTGTCTAGAGGACAACACAAAAGTTAACTGTTCCAGTCCCAAAGCCCGGCCACACATGCCTGTCATGAGTCCATTTATCATGTAGAGGAAACCTTTTCCTACCTAGTGTGTCTTGCCCAAGCATGGCATGTTTCTCAGGGAGCATTGCCTAGCAAGTGAAGAGCCCAGGTGCTCACCCAGCCCCTGCTTTAGCATCGACGCCAGGCTGCAAGAAAGACCCAGCAAGTCGTAGGCCCCTGACTAGGCAGCTTCTGCTGAGCCCCCATCTTGCCCTAACCACTAGGAAGCAACCTCCAGATACCTTCCACGTGGCAAGGAACCAATCAGAAATTAGCTGGCGGGCTTTGGATGTGCGTTACTGATGACAGTGGAACGCAGTAGGTAGCAATGCCCAGGTCCTCAGACAGCCTCCAGGCACGGCAACTTCTCTGCAGCTGCAGTTGACTGATCATCTCAGGACAAGTTCCCCCAGCCCAGAGTTGCACCAATCCTGAGACTGTTGCTATGCAACTAGCAGATGCTCCCCTTGCTCTACCCCCAATATGTGTCCTGCCCCACTGCTTCTTGGGGTTCCTCCTACTCCACCAGTTGTGCCGGATGAATGGAGGACCCAGGTTAACTCCAGTTAACTCGTAAATTTGAAAGACTCTTTGCTTTTGCATCGGATCTGGTCTCTTGATGGTTTTGGGGGTTCAGAGTTTGGGCACAACAGCAGTAGCAATGGAAGATGACCCCCTGTGATGACCTGGCCTCTAGATAGGCCTATTCTTCAGCCTCTACCTTAAGGAGAAACCAGCATTAATCCCAGGGTCTGTTGGCTGCCTCAGGCTGCCAAGCTGGCCGAGGGACCATATTATCCCTCTCCAGAACCAAGACAAAGACCAGCAAGCCAGTCTGCCACAAGTCAGAAAACACCCAGGAGTCCCTGGTCAGGTCACACTTCAGAGCCAGTCAGCCTTTGTAGATCAGTTGCAAGGGGCAGGGGTCTAGTAGCTCCAACCCTGAGAGAATGTGAGAAAGTGTCCTTTGACCAATGACCTTACCACTGCTTTCTCCCCTGCAAAGCTGCCTGCTGGGACAGACAGGAAGCTGTTCTTTTGTTACAGGAAGCCCACCAGAGATGACATACTTTATAACCAACTGAAAGTCTTTATCTTAGCAGGCTGGGACTACACTCAGGTACCTGGTGGTCCCAAGTGTAGCCCTGAGCATGTAGACCAAGGAGCTTAAAAACCACATCCTGTTATCTGCATTAGAGGCTGCAGGGGGAGGTTAGCACAAGCAGGTGGTTTAAAAGACTCTAAGATACGCAGTTACCTGCTCAGGTCCCTAGTATAGAGCTGGGTGGTTTTCCGTGGGATTCTCCATCAAGGAGATCAAATGCTGGTTAAACCTGAGGCGTCCTCAGCAAGAATACAAGATGGAGGTTTTATAGTGGAAACTTCACCCCAAGCCCCTGGCATCCATATACCCAAAGAGTCTAGAATGTTAGAGGGGAAGTTCCACCCAAGTCTCCCTCCCCCATCTCCCTCCAGAGCCTGCTGCATCTCAGAAAGCCTGCCAAATGATGGCTCCTCCTCCAGAGATACACCAGACCACGCCCACAGGGTATTTAAACTGCCCCCTAGAGAACAGACTCCCTTTCCTGTCTCCTCTCTGGGGGACTGGAAGGCCATCCAGGAACACTGTATCCATTAAACATGGGCTTTTTCTAATTCGGTTTGATCTGGTCTGAAGTGGATTGCTGTATTGGTGGAGAGGCTTACTGGGGTATAGAAACTTTTTAGGAGGAACTCTGCCACCCATTACTGTTTCACCTTTCCCTGAAACATATGCTGATATCATGTTTGAGTTACGGTCACATATTCTTCTTCATTTTCTTTTTTGTTCCCGGGGTGGTGGGGTGGAGACAGGGTTTCACCTTGTGGTCCTGACTGACTGACCTGGAACTTGCTTTGTAAACCAGGCTGGCCTTGAACTCAAGCCTCACAGAGATCTGCCTGCCACTGTCCCCAGCCAATCCCTACCCCCCCACACCCAACCCCCTGTGATGGAATTAAAACCATGTGTTTTACACAGTCTCCAAGTGCAATAATACCTGGCTCCCAGGGTCTCTTTGCTGCTCAGGGATCCAGTAACTGTCCCATAACCATGTTCCATGCTCCCTCTGCTGTAATCCTTAGTGACGTCAGGGCCACCTAAACTGCCCTACAGAAGTGAGTCTTGCCTGTCTAGAGGGGTCAGCCTGTCAAAAGGGAACCCCATGGTCCTCGGGCAGTTAATGGCTTTGTGTATTGCATGGGGCTGTAGCCACACACCATTCTATCTGCTGCCTACTTGTGCAGGGTTACACACCTGTCTGCACTGTTTGCAAGAGTGTCACAGTCCAGGGAGGGCCCCGTGTCACCACAACAGCATTGGCAGCCAACATTTCCTGTGAGTGTGGAAGCCCTATTAAGCTAATTTCAGATTCTTCCCCAGTAGATTTTCTTGGCCAGGTCTTGGCCAAGGTTTATTAGATGCTTTTCCACGGCTGTGATAAAGCACTGTGCCCGAAAGCAACATGGAGAGAAGAAGGCTTGTTTGTGCTTAGGATTCAGCCCACTGTGGCAGAGAAGGCCAGAAGGCACAGGGCAGGGATGGGAAGATGGCGGATCATATTGCTTTCAGGAAACAGAGAGGGGGAGGGAGGTAGGGAGAGGAAAAGGGAAGGGAGAGAAAGAGGGAGGGAGAGGGAGAGGGAGGGTGGGAGAGGGAGGGAGGAAGGAGGAAGGGAGAGAGAGAGAAGGAGAGAAAGAGAGAGAATATGAACAGGGAGTAGCACCAGGCTATAAACCCTCAAAACCCACCCCCCCAGTGGCATACTTCTTCCAGCAAGGCTCCACCCCCAAAAGCTCCCATTATATCCCCAAACAGCACCACCAACAGGGAACCAAGTGTTTAAATACTTGAGCTATTTCTCATTCACACCACCACATGTGGCTTCTTGCCATACCCCTGAGGCAGGTGGCCTGGCAGAGTCATCCAGTGGCCAGGGACTCAGAGAGGAAGGCAGAGGTTGGCTGCGGGGTGACTTTCCTCATTTGTCTCTCTGCTCCACAGGTAGGACCATGCTTTTGACTTAGAAACTTCCCAGTCCTCACCCTGGCTCACCCCTGGAACACCTCAGCCTTCAGCTAGCGTCAGGGGCTCACATGGAAGACTACACTTGAAGTCTTGTGTTTTAATTTGTTACTGTAAAAATTTTCAAGCTCTGAAGACTTCCCGGGTCCCTCTTAGCTCCTACAAGGTTGACACAGTCATGCCATGGCTTTTTCACAGACAAGAATCTTTAAATTTGTATTCCTGGGGAGCCAGCATTTGACTGTGGAGAAGATTAGGAGAGGAAAGACATTTAGACAAAGGACAGTTGTGAATGGATGCACTGTTGTGATAATACATGAGGGGTGACCTTGTGTGGAGAACCTTGGCAGATTCCATGACAGGCAAGGGTGACCAAGATGGGGGACAAACAGGCCAGGCAAACAGAGCTTACTGAGAAGTTTTACTAGAAAGCAGAGGGGGGTGGGTAGATAAAGAGACAGAGAGGACAGAAGAGGGAGACAGGAAAAGTCCTGCCTGCCCCAGGGGAACAGCAGGAAAGAGAGAGGGAAAGAGAGAGAGATCGTAAGTGGGCAGGGGCCTGTCTTTCAAAGGGGTCCTTCGCACCTGCGTGCAGACTACACAATCGTGGAACCCTGGGCTGACCAGGGCACTGCCTGAGTGCATTCTGCCAGGTGACAAGGGCAGGCCAGCATAATTCCTGAGTCCTTACATGCACCATCCGAGCTTCTCATCATTTGGAGCCTTGATGTATACACCCTTCTTTCCCCGAGGCTTCCTTTAAAATGGACCACAAGTGAGGTGGGTTTAAGCTATAAAAGCTAAGAGGGGCCGGGCATTGGTGGCGCACGCCTTTAATCCCAGCACTCGGGAGGCAGAGGCAGGCGGATCTCTGTGAGTTCGAGGCCAGCCTCCAAAACAATACAGAGAAACCCTGTCTCGGAAAAAAAAAAAAAAAGCTAAGAGGGTTATCATTCTGAAGGCTGTGATCCCTTCTGAAGACTGAGGAGACATCCCCTGACTGTCCCCTGATTTCGGGGACAAACAAGCACTTTCTTCTTCCTATGGTGCTCTCTCTTTCTCTCTCTGTATCTTCAGAGCACTTGTCTTTGTGTCTGTTTCTCATTCCCTTTCCTTAATAAAGATACCAGTCTGGGACCAGCCCTGTATAAACTAAATCTAAAAGACCATGGTCTGCATATAATGCTGCCTTCTGAGCCCTGGGGACTCATAAACCCATAGGCTGGGGAAAACATTATGTGTACTTCATTCTAAAGTACCTGTCAATATAAATCGTCATCCATACTTAAGTAACTTGCTATAAGGACATTCCTCCTGGGAAATAATCCCCAATTTTCCTGACACCCTGAAAATGTCTGTAAAACTGTCAAGTTGCACTTTAAAAAATACTATTAATTGAAAACTTCACACAAAAAATACTTTCTGGTTCCCCAGTAATATTTTTTCCAGTCACGTGTGAGATATTGTGGATACTGATTCACCTTTGGCCGCAAAGCACTCCTGTA